GGAGTCGTATAATAGCCAACACCTCGGTATTTTTTTCACTTAAATTCTCCCTTTGTTATTGACATGAGTGCGTTCTGTGATGCTGATTTTAACTTCTTTTCTTTGTACATTATAGCCTGTCACAACGTTGGAACAATGCGAGTGGTTGAATCAACTGTTGATGCAAATTTGGTCCAACTATTTTAATCCTAAGCTCTCAAATAGGTTATCAGCCATAGTAGAGGTGAAGTTTCCCTCTCTTTTCTTAATTACCACATCAATATTGGAGTTTTGCACGCCGAGTCAGTGAGTGGGGAATTAACTCGTCAATTTTGTCTTGTGTCTCAGAATCGTTTAAAGCTGCGGAAGCCAAGATTTATAGTAAGTAACAAAACACTCATTTTCATAGGTGGAGGAGTTACTCATTTGTTTAGCAAAAAAGTTTGAACATTCATTTCAATATACTAAAGAAATAATTTCTGCAGGAAAGAGTTGATGTGCAGGAATTTTCACTTGGATCACGCCCTCCCAGTTTGGGCCTTCATGGGGTTAGATGGTCAACCTCTGGTGATCAGGTTTTACTTTGCATCACATTTCAGATGTCATTTGAAATTTCTATACAACTTTATAGATGATTTGTTTATTTAAGGCCTGTGACTACTGCTTTCTTAATATAGGATTCTATTGGTATTGACAGCGAGTCCTGAAAATGGGTTTTGAATGGAACACAAATGAGATGAGCATTTTGATGGTTGCTAAGCTCTCCGTTGGTGCTGCCAGAATTGTGATTAACAGTCTTCATATTAAGGGTGATGTATGTGAAATAGAAACCTTTGTTTTTATGATTCACTGACATGCATTAAAGCTATCTATATTAAATGAAGTAGCAAAAATATAAACAAAATTAGAAGGTTAGGTTGAGTTTTAAATGAAGTACCAATAGAGCTATTCTCTGACCCTGCAGTTTTGAAGGAAATTATTGTGTTGATACATTCCTTATGTTCTAAGGCACTGGTTGTCCCTTTTCACAATCTATTTGTTCCCATTATATTTGCAGCTTCTCGTGACACCAATTTTAGATGGAAAAGCACTTTTGTACTCATTCGTATCAACACCTGAGGTTAAAATAGGAATTGCCTTTGGAAGCGGAGGCAGCCAATCAGCCACTGAGTTGCCTGGTGTTTCTCCTTGGCTGGTATGTTTCACAGAATCTAATTTGTCTAAATTTAGAGGATAAATTTGATGTCTAGACTTTTTGGTGCCATCTGAAAAAAGTGTATCTGGAACTGTTGTCTATAAAACTTGTGTCAGTTTCATATTTTGCAACATATGCTCATTTATTCTTTGAACATTCCCTGGTGTTTCAAGTGTCTTTTGTTAGCTTTCTCTCTGAATTTTCCAATGTTGTATCATATGATGTTTCATACTAACATACAGTAGTTACCTTTCATTCAGGTGAAACTTTTTACTGACACTTTGGTAAAGACCATGGTGGAGCCTAGGCGCCGCTGCTTCAGTTTGCCTGTAGTTGATTTAAGGAAACATGTTGTTGGTGGCATGATATATGTTTCAGTGATTTCCGCAAACAGACTTTCTAGGAGTTCCTTCAAGGGGAGGCAACAAAATGGCACAAGCAATGGCGGTTTAGAAGACAACTTGAGTGACAAGGACTTGCAGACATTTATAGAGGTAGAAGCAGGGGAGCTGACAAGGAGAACGGGCGTGAGTCCTGGTTCAACTCCAAGATGGGATACAACATTTAATATAGTTTTACATGATAATACAGGAATAGTCCGCTTCAATCTTTACGAGTGCCCCCCCAACAGTGTGAAGTATGACTACCTAGCATGTTGCGAAGTTAAGGTACCGACACCTCATAGATGTTTGTTTTTATGTGCTAGCAATAAGATTATTAATCGGCTGTCAATAAGCATATGTCTTGTCAACAATAAATTTTATTTTTAATACCGTTGTGGTAAAGCTTATCATATGTAGTTAAATACCATTCAAAGATAACCTATTTCTTTATGTCTCTGTGAAGATGAGGCACGTGGAGGATGATTCAACAATACTGTGGGCAGTAGGGCCTGATTCTGGTGTAGTAGCAAAACATGCAAAACTTTGTGGAGAGGAAGTTGAAATGGTTGTCCCATTTGAGGGGGCCAACTCAGCAGAGGTACAATATATGCCCATCTGTCAAGCTTTCTTTGCTTTAGGGTTGATACAACTTTATCGTATTACATTAGTAGTGTTTGATATTCGTCTAACCAAAGCTCACAAGGCCGTTCTTCTTTCCTAATTAGAACACATATGCTCTTCAAGTACTAAGAAATGAAACTCTGACTACATGAATTAAGTATTTTATGTCTCTTTTGTATGGCCGGCCATTAAGGCTCTGATTTCATGCCGATGACAAATTCTTCCAGAAGCTTAATTCGTTAGATGTAAAATAATATGGTTTTTTATATATTTAAAATGGATTGGTAGAGCTTCATATTAAAAGTTTTTCTGGAGTAATGCTTGTAAGTTGAAACTGCAATAGAATTTTGTTATCCTATGGTTGTAAGTTGTATCAAATTGTTTGTATTTTGTGATTTCTAAGTCAAGCACTCTTTGAATGTTCGATATACTTGCGCGACACAGTTTTCTATTCTTCCTGTTCTAAATTCTAACGCACTTTTCATGATTGAGTCACTATGGAATTGTCCTCATAGCGTTTTCCCTCTTAAAAATGGAAGTAGTTATACCTTTTAACGAAAATAAAATTGTTGGTAAATGGAATGTTTAATCCTTCTTAACTTTTTTATTCACTTCTTTAGTTAAAGGTGAGAATTGTAGTAAAAGAGTGGCAATTCTCTGATGGATCTCATAGCTTGACCAACCTCAGTGCCAGTTCTCAGAAATCACTAAAGGGATCATCAAATCTTCTTTCAAAAACTGGAAGGAAACTTAAGATAACTGTCGTCGAAGCAAAGGATCTAGCCGCGAGTGACAGATTTGGAAAATTTGACCCTTACATTAAGTTACAATATGGAAAGGTGAGAGTTACTGGTTGTCTGATTGACTTTTTAAGTCTTGACGCTTTGTCATATATTGATGAACCGCTCTAATATATTTATATTGAAATTTACTTTGATGCAACGTAAGTTCATAACACTTTACCTGAATCTATTATGATAATCTCTGTAGGTTGTTAAGAAAACAAATATTGCTCCTCCTACTACTACTTCAACTCATGTATGGAATGATAGTTTTGAAGTAGATGAGAATAATGGTGATGAATACCTAATTGTGAAATGCTTTAGTGAAGAAATTTTCGGAGACGAAAACATTGGTAGTGCACATGTAAATTTGGAAGGACTCGCGGACGGGTCGATCAGGGATGTATGGATCCCACTTGAAGGAGTGAGTTCTGGTGAGTTAAGACTTAAAATAGAAGCAATTAGGGTGGACAGCAAAGAGGGATCAAAGGTATGCTTCTTTCACAGGAAAACAACGATTCTTTTAATAATGTGCAAAGCTGAATTTTCAACTCTGGAGTGTTAGTTTTTCTGAAAACCCCCCACACCTTTGAAATGAACACAGGGTCCAGCTTTGGGCACGGCCAATGGTTGGATTGAAATTGTTCTTATTGAAGCGAAAGATCTTATTGCTGCTGATCTTGGAGGGACAAGTGATCCTTACGTGAGGGTAACCTATGGAAACTTGAAGAAAAGAACAAAGGTTAGAAAACTTCCTCCGAAGTTTCTCTTGGATAAATCCTTCTCCTTTAAGATTTTCAAGTTTTATTACTATCACATTGTATCTGCTGTTATTATTTATTTCACACTTGTAAGGTTTTAATTTACTGTGACATTATTATCCGGTAGGTTGTACACAAAACTCTGAACCCTCGTTGGGACCAGACGTTAGAGTTCCAAGACGATGGAAGTCCCTTGATACTGCATGTGAAAGACCATAATGATTTCCTTCCCACATCAAGTATAGGTGAATGTGTTGTAGAATATCAAGGGCTTCCTCCGAACCAAACGTATGACAAGTGGATACCTCTCCAAGGGGTGAAAAGTGGTGAGATCCACATCAAAATCACAAGAAAAGTTCCAGATATGCAAACAAGACAATCTCTAGACTCCGAACATTCTTTGACAAAATTACACCAGATTCCTAGCCAGGTGAGATTGTCTTGCATTCAGAATTTTGAGCTAAGCTAACAAGTTTTATTGGTTGTCCATCCATTGTTTTTTTATTTTTTGTATCATATCAATTCCACTTGTTCTTTTATTGTGCGAATTATTAGAATTTAGAATTCTCATTTTCGTTACACGGTTTTATTCTCACATATACTGTTGAAATTGAACAATAAATATCAGATAAAGGAGATGACGAAAAAGATCAGGTGTTTAATAGAGGAAGGAAATCTGGAAGAGCTGTCTACAAGTTTGAGTGAGTTACAAACTTTAGAGGATACACAAGAAGGATATATAGCCCAGTTGGAGACTGAACAAATGCTTCTTATCAGCAAAATAAATGAACTGGGCCAAGAGATTATCAATTCGTCTTCTTCTCCTTCCCTCAATAGAAGAAGTGAAAGTTGATACTTATCAGCATTCTACCACTATTTTACATTCTCCGGCCCAACTTTCTTTCTCCACCCAGCAACCCCACCTCCTATGAACCTTGAGGATTAAGGTTCCTTATGGCTCTGGGAGTAGTGTTAAGAAGAATTCAAGGCCCAATATGGAGAAAAAGAAATCAATACTGTTGAAGGACTTTACTTTAAAGTAAAGGGTGTATTTAGTATTTTTATTTACTATATATTCTGTATGCTTGCTGTTATGAATTAGAGAGAAAAGTTATTTTATCTTATTGTCTTGTTACACAATTCTTAGATCCAAAAGTTAATCTAGTATATAGTCTATCATAAACCGAAGTGAAAGCCCTAGTTCTCCGTTTCTATTTTGTGAAAAAATAATAAAAACTATTTTTTTAATGGGTCTTGTCCCTAAAAACTATTTTCTCGAATGAAGATATCATCATCAATAGTGAATCTGAAGTCACTCACTTTTCCATCAAAATTCAACTCTTTCTCTTCTCTCGCAACTATATCTAATCACAACAACATCAACAACGATAAACCATCCAATGCAATCGATCGAATCCTTCTCCGCTTTCGCATACTCTCCCGTCATCACGATGATGATGAACCGCCACATCAGTTTTTGCACCGCCACTGCCTTCGCTCCGATGACGCCGTTTTTCCATCGGACAACCAAGACCAGAAAGTATTCGACAAGAACCAAGTAATGGCACCGTGTTTGGCGGAGGAAGAACTGAATCGGTTGAAAACTATCGGAATGCATCTCAAGGAGAAAATTAGTATCCCTAAATCTGGTCTCACGCGTCCTGTTCTCCACAAAATTCATCATCGATGGAACAATTGTGAGGTCGTGAAGCTCAAGTTTCATGACTTGCTTGCTCAAAATATGAACCTTGCTCATAACATCCTTCAGGTCTTTTCATCATCTCATCGTGTATGCAGTTTTTAATGGTGGTCTGATGCATGATTTTAATTCACCATGTTGCGCACATAAACATTTATTATTATATTCAATTATAGTCTTGGTACTATTAGTAAGAATTTGTCAACTCAATTCTTGTAGATTTGTACAGCATCGAACCGGAGGATCAGTTATATGGAGGTCAGGGAGTGTAATGTGGGTGTACCGCGGCGAAAACTATCAAGGACCAACAACAAATACCAAACATAGTTCAAAGAGTGAGTCAGTTGTGTGTAATCAACAACAACATGATAACATGACGCCCGAGGAGGTGGAGTTTAACCGGATGCTTGATGCTTTTGGTCCTCGTTTTGTTGATTGGTGGGGTACTGGAATACTTCCTGTTGATGCTGATTTGCTTCCCCCTATAGTTCCTGGTTACACAACACCTCTTAGGCTTCTTCCTACCAAAATACGTCCGCGACTTACCAACGACGAGCACACAAAAATGCTCAAACTTGCAAAAGCTCTTCCTTGTCATTTTGCCTTGGGTAAGCAAGATTCAACTGCCGAACTGTTTTATTAAATTTGTCTTTCCTTTTGCTCATTTAAATATTGGCTTGATCTTTATGAAGGGAGAAATAGAAATCTTCAAGGTCTAGCATGTGCTATTCTTAAGCTTTGGGAGAAAAGTTTGGTTGCAAAGATTGCTGTCAAGCTTGGTGTCCAGAATACAAACAATGAACTGATGGCTCTGGAGTTGAAGGTTTGTATCTGCAATTCCCTGTTTGGTGCTGATTGCTTGTGAAATATTGAGTGTGTAAAGCTGAATGCATCAAATTAATAGGCCGCAGAGCTTCATTTAAAAAAATTGTGAAACCGGTTCTTAGAATGAAGAGTACAATGAATATGCCCAACATCCCTAAGTATTCAATCAAATTATGGTGTATGCAAAATTTTGTGTTGGTTACAATTAAGAGTCCTTCAAAGTCGTTGGCTATGCTTTTTTTTATAGTTAGTACTTATACGACATAAGATAAGAGCCCTTCCATAAAACCAAAGAGATGATATTTACAAAACTTAAACATAAACATATTTCAACAATTAATAAAACTAAATAAAATAAACTCAGCAGCTTTTCCGTTGTATCATATAAACAAGTTGGATTAGAGTCGCCACTGAACTCTACTGCCGGAAAATGCAGCCATAGCACATCGGGTGTCAGAAACAGCGAGATAGTCGTCCAGGTTTTCCCTATTTATTTGGATTTTCCTCCCCCCTCCTTTAGTACTCGTCAGGATTTGATTTTTGTAATAAATAAAGAAGCATAGCCGGTTTTTGAAGTATGAAATGTTCATGTTTAGTGACTGATCTGATTCTAAGATTAAACAAACAAGTCGGTAGTTAGAGATGTTTAGAATTTTGTTTTAATGGGAAATCTGATCCCTTTCAGACACATACATAATCACTTATGACATAAGATAAGCCTAAATAGTCCATACTATAATGTAGCAGTTTATTGAATTGAAAAGTTTTTTCTCGGGTCCAGAAATTAACTGGGGATACTTTACTGCTAAGGAATAAGTATTACATTGTAATATATCATGGAAAGGAGTGTAAACTTCACATAAGCTGAAAAACAACTTGCGGTCATATTGTGAGCTATTTACATAAGCCCTTCCAAACATTTGCCTAAGTATTTGTGACATAAGATAAGATAAGTCTAAATAAGTTCTTCCAAGCACCTGCATGGTAACATGGTGCATTCTTTTGTTCCCAAGTCAATAGTCTAAGAAAGGAGATAGTACAGTAATTCTATTAATTAATTTGAAATGTATTTTCTCTTGTCCAGAAATTAACAGGTGGTACCTTACTGCTAAGGAATAAATATTACATCGTAATATATCGCGGGAAGGATTTCGTTCCAGCCAATGTGGCTGCCATTTTATCTGAAAGACAGCAATTGAAGAAACAGGTGCAGGATGTTCAGAAGAAGGTGCAACACAGAGCTGTTGATATAACGGGGGAAGATGAAACAAATGCACAAGCAGGAATGTTGTCTGAGTTCAATGAGGCTCAAGCATTCCGAGGAAGGGAAATATCTCCTGTAGAATGTGAGAAGATTATGAAAGAGGCTGATGAAGCGAGTAATGTTAGGCTTATGAAAAAAATGGAACGCAATCTAGTTGTTGTAAGTATCTACTTGTCTTGTGAAGTTTATCATGGTTGAGAAATTAGTTGTGTTTTATTCAGGATACTTGTTGGAATATAAATCACAAACAGCTTTATTTAAAAGGAATTTTTTTAATGTTTATATAATTAGTCTGCAAATTACCATCAGATTGTTGTTGTGTCATGCCAAGAGGAACTGTTGGGAAGTCATTATTGTCTTAAATTTCTATTTATATATCTGAACCTTGAAATTTAGGTTTCCAAATCAATTAGGATATCTAAAAGTGTTATTTCTGTTTTCTTATGATCATTTAATTTAATTTGTTTTATTGATATTTACACCACTAGATACATGAAGAGGCCGATGCCAAAAAGTCAAGAGCAGAAAAGCTATTAACTAAAATAGATGAATCTATGATTCCAGCTGGTCCAGATAATAGGAGGGAAACAATCACAGATGAAGAACGTGCTATGTTCCGTGTGGTTGGTTTAAAATTGAAGGTGTACATACAACTTGGTGGGTAATCTTCAGCTGTATCAGAGTTGCTATATTGCAATGATGCAAAACTGACTGCTGCTTATGATACTCTGTAGGTACACGTGGTGTTATTGATGGTGTCATTAAGAATATGCATTTGCATTGGAGGCATCGAGAACTTGTTAAATTAATAACAAGAGAAAAAACCCTTGCTTTTGTTGAAGAAATAGCTGGTTTACTAGAATACAAGAGTGGTGGAATACTAGTATCAATAGATAGACTTCCCAAAGGATTTTCTCTTATTTACTATCGTGGAAAGAGTTATAGGTCGCTAATTACTCTCCAACATAGAAACCTTTTAATGAAAGCAAAAACATTGCAGCGTTCAACATCCATGCAACGACACGAGGTTTCAACTTTTATATGACAATTACAAATACATTTTTCCTTTTTATAGTTCAGTATCATAGAGAATACTTAGATACCAGCTTTGGGATCTGTATGAAAATGCCTAGGATTGTGTATGTGATTGTTTCTAACATATAATTTTTGATATCATCTGACAAGGGTTAGGATGAGAAAGATGGATGAATGAACAAAAATGGTTTTTCATTATAATAGCAATTGATTACCTGCTGGTTGTACTCTGCAGAGTGAGGATGAAGGCTTATCATCTTGGTGATTTTGATGATAGTGGAAGAAAATATCTTCAAACCCAATACCTTTAAACCCCTTGCCTCGACTAGGAGACAATATTTTCGAGACACCAAACTAGTCTCACATTGTTTCAGAAATGAGATAAGAGTAGTTTATATGACACTCATATTCTTTAATTTAACTATGTGTATTTTATAAATGATAAAACTGTGACAGATTTTCGCTGATAATATTTCATAATTGTTGTGGACTTGTTTTCAACGAATTTGAGATTGATCGGAACATATCCCAACCAATTGAAATTTTATAATACAATTATCTTTCAAAAAGATAACCCATGACCCCCGACATTTAAAAAAAATAAAATAATAAAGCTTTAGTCATGCATGCCCTACTAGCAAAACTAATTAGGTAGTCAAAGCAAGAAATAAATAAAAAATTAGCATGGTCTTTGTTTTGTTCACTTTTGATTTTTTTTTTTCAAGCAAATTATTGCTTCTATTCTTAAAAGCCTAAATGTATTGATTAACTTGTTACTTTAGTGTGTGTTTGATTCTACAATACAAATAATTAATTTTGAATGAGTTAGTTCTAAAAAGTGAGTTAAAGATAAAATGATTTGGAATAAATTCTTGCAAAATGAATTGAATAATAAAAATTTAGACTAAAAAAACTATAAATTATATCTTCAAATAAAATCAAATCTAAATAAAATCAATTTTATTTGAAAGGGATCAACGTGTCAAAATCAATTATACACTTGTAGAATCAATTCTAAATTGCTCCAACCATAAAAAATTGGAATTGATTTCAAAAAGTAGGAGTGAATACTTTCTATGAATTTAAATCCAACCTTTCACTAATTTTGTATTACTTGCCGTGAATAGAGAAGGAAAAATTCTACCAACTTTTCTTATTTAATTTCCTACCCTTCCTCATACTTTTCTCTTTTGCTCAACAGAAAAAGAATAAAAGATGTAAATTATCAGCATCCTAAATCCTCTTGTTTTCCATTTCTGTGTCTTGGTGAAGTTTGAAGTTTGTTCGATCGCACGCTATACACACATTAAGAATCTAGACTCAAGCTGAAAATTAAAGTGCAGAAGCCTAACGTCGATAAGAATCAAAAATCAAAAATTTCTCAGATTGATGAAATTTATATATTTATGCCCTGTCTAGGTAAGGAACAACAGTATTATATATGACCCTAATGGCTTCAGCATTTGCGGTGTTAGTAGTAGAATTCATCAGCATTCTCTATTCACACTTATCGCTCAATTCTTTCTAAATTGTAATTTCATTTCATGCCGAGTTGGCAATTTTGATTAAGATATCTCTCTCTCTCTCTCCATATGGATAACATGGTCAAGCCATGTCATATGGCGCATGCACCTAAAATGTTGAATAAACATTAAATGTGTTAGTAATAAAGTTTTACATTAAATATAGATAGTAGGAAGGACAAAAGTTTTAGTAAGTTATTAGTAGCAGTTATGTTTATGTTTATGTTTTAGAATTATAAAAGTCATTTTGGTCTATAAAAGACCAAGTGTGTAATTTATTTGATAAGAGCAATATACAAGTTTTCACAAGAAGTCTGATTCGATTTTATAACAATTTGGTATCAGAGCTCATGGCAAACATGATGAATCAAATGCCGTTGTCACGGCTAACGAAGTCTAATTATGAAAACTGGAGTATCCAAATGAAAGCTCTTCTTGGATCTCTAGATGCGTGGGAAGTAACCAATGATGGGTTTGAAGAACCAACAGAAGTTGGGGGATATTCAGCAGCTCAAACGAAGGCGTTGAAAGAGACGCAATCGAAGGACAAAACGGCATTATATATGTTGTTCAGGGCTGTAGATGAATCAGGCTTCGAGAAAATTGCTGGTTCGACTACGTCGAAACAAGCGTGGGACACGTTAGAAAAAGTGTTCAAAGGAGCAGATCGAGTGAAGCAAGTTCGACTCCAAACTCTTCGTGGCGAATTGGAGAGGATACAAATGAAGGATACAGAAATTGTATCTGACTACATCACACGTGTGCAAAAGGTAGTGAATCAACTCACCAGAAATGGAGAGACAGTACCTGATGCACGAGTTGTTGAAAAGATCTCGAGATCTTTAACAGACAAGTTTGAAAATATTGTGTGTGCAATAGAAGAGTCGAAGGACCTTTCGACGCTCTCAATCGAAGAGCTCACTGGTTCTCTCAAAGCACATGAACAACGAAAGATGAAAAAGAAAGAAGAAGCAGACGAAGAAGCAAACCAAACCAAGGAATCGAAGAAAGACTAAAAGGTACTCTTTTCTCACAACTTTCGAGGAAGAGGACGTGGACGTGGAGGTCGTGACAGTGGTCGAAGTGGTAAAGGTAGCAACTTCGAAAGAGGACATTTGAGCCAACAAAATTGGCGTGGCAGAGGACGTGGTCAAAGAGGTGGTCGTTCGAATCATTCCAACTTCGAATGCTACAAGTGTGGGAAGTATGGTCATTACGCGAAGGATTGCAACTCCTACAAATGTTACAACTGTGACAAAGTGGGACATCTTGCAAAAGACTGTCGAATCGAAAAGAAGATTGAAGAAACAACCAACCTAGCCTTGGAAGCTGAATCGAATGAAGGCTTTCTCCTGATGGCTCAAAACGAAATCAACACCAATGACAGTGTTTGGTATCTTGACTCAGGAGCAAGTAATCACATGTGTGGTTACAAACACCTGTTTAAAGATATGAAGGGAATTGAAGATGGTAGTGTGTCTTTTGGAGATGCATCGAAAGTGAAGGTCGAAGGAAAGGGCACAATCAATTACTTGCAGAAGGATGGCTTGATTGGATCAATCGAAGACGTTTACTATGTATCAGATCTCAAGACCAACATATTAAGTCTGAGACAACTTACAGAAAAAGGTGCTTCGATACTTATGAAAGATCGAACACTGCATTTGAAGGACAAAGCAGGACATCTGATTGCCAGTGTCGAAATGGAAAGAAATCAAATGTACAAACTGAACTTGAGGAACATTCGAGAGAAATGTCTGCAAATCGAAGTGCAAGACAAAGCGTCACTATGGCACATGCGCTTTGGTCATCTACATCATGCTGGTTTGAGAAGGTTGGCGAAAAGGAACATGGTGCATGGACTACCAGACATGGATTTCGAAGGAAAATTCTGTGAAGAATGTGTGCTCAGCAAACAAACAAGAACCTTATTTCAAAGGAAGGCAGAGTATAAAGCTAAACATATTCTCGAATTGATACATACTGACATATGTGGGCCAATCACTCCAGAATCCTTCAGTGGAAAAAGGTACTTCATTTTCTTCATTGATGACTTCTCAAGAAAAACCTGGGTCTACTTCCTGAAATAAAAGTATGAAGCATTAGAAGTGTTCAAAAAGTTCAAAGTAATGGTAGAGAAGGCAACAGACAGACACATCAAAGCAATTCGATCTGACAGAGGAGGTGAGTATACTTCAATGGCCTTTGTGAAGTACTGTGAAGAACATGGCATAAGGAGATTCCTAACTTCACCATATTCACCTCAGCAAAATGGTGTGGTTAAAAGGAAGAATCGAACTATTTTTGACATGGTTCGATCAATGCTCAAAAGCAAGAACATGTCAAAAGAATTCTGGGCATAAGCAGTACAATGTGCTGTTTATATTCAGAATAGATGTCCATATTCGAAGTTAGAAGACAAAACACCACAAGAAGCATGGAGTGGACAGAAACCAACAATTTCTCATCTCAAGGTATTTGGTAGTATAGCTTATGCACATGTACCAGATCAACGAAGAACAAAGCTTAAAGACAAAAGTCAGAAGTACATATTCATTGGATATGATGAGAAGACGAAAGGGTACAAGATCTTCAATCCCATAAGCAAGAAAGTGATCGTGAGTAGAGACGTTCGAATGAACGAAGCAAGCAAGTGGGACTGGAACAATTCGACAGAGGTTGTTGACACAGTCGAAGAAACAACTGTAGCTGTACCAACACGTATACCAACAGAACATGAAGAAACAGAAGATGAAGATGAACCTCTACAACCCAAAATGAGAAGTTTGCAAGATTTGTATGATTCAACAAGTGAGGTGCATCTTGTGTGTCTTCTGGCAGATGCTGAAAACATCAGTGTCGAAGAAGCGTTACGAGACAAGAAGTGGAAAAGTGCCATGGACGAAGAAATTAGAGCAATCGAACGCAACAATACTTGGGAGCTAGTCGAATTACCAAAAGGAAGTCAACCCATTGGTGTAAAGTGGGTATTCAAGAAAAAGATGAATGCTCAAGGAGAAATCGAAAGATTCAAAGCACGACTGGTTGCGAAGGGATATAAACAGAAAGCAGGAATTGACTATGACGAAGTGTTTGCGCCTGTTGCAAGAATGGAGACAATTTGATTACTCATTTCTCAGGCTGCTCAGTTCAAATGGCCAATATTTCAAATGGATGTCAAGACAACATTTTTGAATGGTGTGCTCGAAGAAGAAATCTATGTCGAACAACCACTTGGATATATGAGAACTAGAGAAGAGAAGAAGGTGTTGAAACTGAAGAAATCACTGTATGGGCTGAAGAAAGCACCTAGGGCATGGAACACACGTATTGACACATATTTCAAGGAGAATGGATTCGAGCAATGTCCTTATGAACCCGCCCTCTATGTGAAGAAAAATGGAAGTAATTTATTACTTGTTGCACTCTATGTTGATGATCTTATCTTTCTAGGCAGTGATGTTCAGATGATCGAAGACTTCAAAAGCACCATGACAAGCGAATTCGAAATGACAGACTTAGGTCTGATGATATTCTTTCTTGGTCTGGAGGTTCGACAAGAAGAAGCTGGAATTTTCATCTCACAAGAAAAATATGCAAAGGAAATCTTAGAAAAATATAAAATGAAGAATTGCAATCCAACTTCGACGCCAATGAAACCAGGTACAAAACTGTCAAAGTTTGATGGAGGAGAACGGGTCGAAGGAAGCAAATATCGAAGCTTGGTAGGTAGCCTTCGACA